GCAGCTGGAGTACTGCGTCCAGTTTTGGGCTCCACAATTCAAAAAGGATGTGGAGAAGCTTGAGAGAGTCCGGAGAAGAGCCATGCACATGATTAGAAGTCAGGAAAACAGACCTTACGACAAAAGGCTGAGATCTATGAGGCTCTTTAGCCTGTAAAAGCACAGGCTCAGGGGTGATCCGATAGCCACCTATAAATTTATCAGGGGTGACCACCAGTATCTGGGGGAACATTTGTTCACCAGAGCACCCCAAGGGATGACAAGGTCAAACAGTTATACACTACTGCAAGACCATTTCAGGCTGGACATAAGGAAGAATTTCTTTACTGTCTGACCCCCCAAGGTCTGGAATAGCCTTCCATCAGAAGTGGTTCAAGCACCTACATTGAACACCTTCAAGAGTAAATTGGTTGCTTATCTTGGTGGGATCCTATGACCCCAGCTGACTTCCTGCCCTTTGGGCGGGGGCTGGACTTGATGATCTTCTGAGGTCCCTTCCAGCCCTAATGTCTATGAAATCCATGACAGTAGTACGAAGTGAAACAAAACCAAAACAAAAAAGTTATGCATCCTTCCTTGCATCTGACCTTGAATTAGTGACAGACAGCTATATGAAAACTCCAGATGCAAGTAAGTTAAAGTGGGTGATCTACACAAGTGGCCACAGTCTTGGACAGCCTGTGTGCACAGCCACAGGACTCATGCTATTGGGAATGAAGTTGCAGGAAATACATGGATTTCCAGCCACCCCTTATTTATATGAAAAAGGGCCTGTTCCCATTTAATTTTCCATCGTTTATCAGATCGGAGATAATCCAAAGTGATTTGGAAACATCAAGAAGATTATATGAATGTGTTAGAATTAAGTTTTTTTGAGAACACCTGTTTCTAGTAACTCAGCTTTTGCCTCCACACATCCCATTTGTTGTGGAAGAAACAATACAGACTATACTACATTGACATAAGGGCTATGATGTTAAGAACTTGAGGGAAAGTTTGCACAGCCTATCAAGTTCTGTCACCGACATTTATAATATAAGCAGAAGCCAGGGTAGAGTGGTACCTTGTAGACCATGGGTGGCCAACCTGCAGCACGTGAGCCCTAAGTGGCACAAGAAGTCTCTGTGTAGCATGCAAATCAGGAAGACGACAGGCATCACAGGAAAGGATCAGAGTAGGCAAGGAGCATACAGCAGAGAGCAGAAAGCCAAGCAGCAGATTAGGCAGGGGAAGCAGATCAGAAGTAGCACGCCTGCCAAAAAGGTTGGCCCTCACTGTTACAGACTAACTCAGCCCTGGTTTGGAACCAGTTGATTTTCTAGGATCATCCAAAATATATTTGCTAAGAAGTTATGAAAGAAATACAGGAAACCCTTGGTATTCACAAACTCCGGGTTTGCAGATTCAAATATTTGTGGGGGAGGGCAGAGCCAGGAGGCAGGCAGAGAGTGAACCCTGGGGACATGGAGGGAGGCAGCAGCAGCAGCAGCAGCATCTTCTCCCCCAGAGGCAGCAGCAGCATTTTTTTGTCGCCACTGCCGGAGGCAGCTGTGGCAGCACTTGGGGGAAGGAGTTGGTCCCCAGGTGCTGTGGGGGAGCAGAAGGCAGCTGTGGGGCCTGACAGGGAGCCACATCAGTATTCGCAGATTTCACCAATCACAGGGATCTCCAGAATGTATCCCCTGCGAACAGTGAGGATCTCCTGTACTGCTATTCAATTTTACATACAGTGTTTTGCTTCTACCCAAGTCATACTGGCTTACTCTAGTAAGACAGTTTTTAACTCCACTCTTGTTACGCAGGGCTACAGTTACAGGAGGAGGAGCTGGATTATACTCTTCTCGTGTCTTAATAGACGATCTATTTACAGGGCCAGCTACATTATGAAAACCCTTCTTAGAGCAGCAAGTTTGCATATATTACCGAAATGATACATGAGGAAGGGGTGCGGGTGGTGGGGGGAAAAAAAAAAAAATAAATAATTGGCTGACATGGGAGAACTAGCAATGAGAAAAATAACCTTAACATTTAACCTTGGTGGTACAAAAATCCCACAGTCTTTATTGGATCAATGAATCAGTTAAAGCAAAACTGGATTCGAAGGACAAATCACAGTTTTTCAGTCAAAACTTTTATCAAGTTTAATTACTTAAATAAGGGTTGTAGAATCTGGCTTATGAGAGTTTACCTGGACATATCTTAAAATGACTTTCTGGACAAAACTGGTCAATTTGCCTTTCAAATTAAAGCTTGGAATGAATAAAGTCATACTTCTGGTTAAAGTATGTACAGTTTTTAAAAATATTAGGATGAGGACTTTAAAATATCAGTTTTTCTATAGTGTTTTGATAGGCTACTTACATCATCAGTGTCTTTGACTCGAAGAATCTGTTCTCGTAGGTCCTGTAAATCATTAAATGTGGATTGTGCTGTGATAGAATATACTAATGCAAAGCCTTGTCCATTTTTCATGTAGAGGTCTCTCATTGCCGTAAACTGTTCCTGTAATAAGAGAGACATTGGATTTGATTTTGTGCATTTTACAAACTGAAATCATACACAACTGAAGGATAAGCCATACAAGGTTAATGAAAGTAATGACAATTTTTACATCTTAAAACCTTTTGTTAAAAAAAGTTTAACCCATGCATTGTGCCTTATGAATAGTATTGGGTTTTAAGTATGTGTATATAAACAAAATATCTGCACTAAAACTGTTATTTGGGAAAATGCTAAGAACTACAGTCTCCAGGTAAACAGTCATTTGATCTGGCTGGAAAAGCTCTGTAAGTCCAAAAAAAGGAGACACGATACAGAAAAATTACAATGATTCTAACCTCAGAGAATCCTATTGCCTCCATTAAAAAGTAGGAACAACTGCAAAGAGTTTATTAAAATAATGCACTGTTTCAATTTCATAATAACTCATACAGTCATAAGAGGCACTGTCTGAAATGAAAGCTCCTGGTTAAAACAAGTACACAGTCAAGTTCTCACTAGTTAAGACACATTCTCTCTTATACCCTAAACACTAGGGCAAACAAACTCATGACATTTACTTGCTTTTGCTGCACCTGACTGAACCTTGGGATAGAACAGAACAATGAGTGGGGTCACATTCAACTAAAATGAGAAAACTATACAGGAGACTGGGTCTTTTAAAAACTGATAAGGTTCTGATTTGACCCTCTTCCATTGTATGGATGTAGTGAAACATGAACCTACGGTAGAATTCTCAGATTTTTCCATTTTAAAAAATGCAAGCAAGAAGAAACTAAATTCAAATTAAGTTTCATCAACCACTCCTTTGTTTGGCCTCAGTCCATGACATTTGTATTGGAACACCAGATACAAGACTGGAAAGAATCTCCCACATTGTTAAATCCAACTCTCTAACACTGCAGGTAGGCAGAACACAATCCTTTCTACAAACTGACTAAATTGCTTCTTAAAACTAGTTTAACAAAAAAACCCAAAAAACAACAAACCAAAAAACCCACTTAGTAGCACCTCCTTGAAATTCTAATAGAAGACTGCTCCACATCTCACTGCTCTGTTTATTATGTGGCTGCTTGAGACTATAGGAGACCAACTCAATGAACCAGTATTTCCCATCCAGGCCTTTATTTCAAAGTTCAACTACTCCTTCACAGCATTAATACCACAATTTTTAAATTCTAGGTAGGTGAAAATGAAATAAGTGCTCCTGAATTAAGTGAAATATATCAGATGCTAGATGGCAAACTCATTACAGTGACATTTACAAATATACAAGCTCTACATTTCACATAGGGTCTCATTTCAAGGGTCTAACAATATTTTGTTCTACTGTAATAACTGAAGATAGACGCAGCTGTACATCTGAATGCTTGATCCTGAGCAGTCTGAAGAGATTCTGCACCTTCTGAGAAGCACAAATCCCTTCCAAATGGTTCTTTATTATTTAATTATAAAAGAGGATAAGAGTACTATTAAAAAACAAGATGAGACCCTGCCAAAGACTTAAATTAGATTCAACTAAAAAAATTAAAACTTGGTATGACCGGAAAGAGTGTCTAAAATTAAGGGAAATGAAACTTTAAAGTAATAAATTATAGCAAAAGGGAGCCAATACTATGCAATGCCTCTGCATGCTGCCTTTGTTCTATTACTAATGCTTCTGGCAGTCAAAGCTGGATAAAAATATTAGCCATTTTGATTAAAATGTCACTCTGTCTTTACATAGTTCTGCACCGTTTTAAGTGAAACACTTATTTACCCCATGGAAGTAATATTGGAGCACAACCCCAGAGCTCCCAGTTTCTTGCTACTGTACAACTGCTTGTCCCAAGGAAAAGGCTGAGGTTTGCCTTGGGATAACTGCTTATCCCCACAGGTCTCAGTTCCACTGCCCTTATAACTGGGAATCTCTGGCAGTTCTAGGTGGCCCACATGTTGGGTTGTGAAAGAAATTTTAGATTTCCCTTTCCAGAGAAAGCTCTAGCCTGGAATATCACTTGCCCAGAAATCACTCTCTCTGCAGGCAAGCAATAAAAGGAGACAAAGCAACAAAACGATTTATTAATACAGGAGAAGAGAATTTTACAAGAAAAGCTGACCAGAAGTTTGGAAACAGAAAAGCAAGACAAGTAAAGTTACTTACACATCTGGCTACACCCTAGCCTTTGTGAGAGTCCTGTCAGTATGTCCAGAAAAATAAGGCTTCTTGCTGATTCTGCCAGCCCTGGCTGCTGGGGACCCTGGACTCTCCTTAGCCTGGGATCATCCAAAGACCCCAATTCTATCCTAACTAAACTCTAAAAACCTTTGAGTCAGCTTCCCCTCATCACTATTATTCTAATTGCTGATGAGTCACAGAATTCCCCAGAGATTTACTGTCCTGGTTCTGATCAGACCTAAAGAAGGATGTCTTGTATTCGAAAGTTTGTCTAACTCTATCCCAGGGACAAGGAGGTGATCCTCCCCCTCTATGCAACACTGGTCAGGCCACAGCTGGAGTACTGTGTCCATGTGCGCCCCACTTCAGGAGGGATGTGGACAACATTGACAGGGTCCAGAGGAGGGCCACCCAAATAATCCGGGGACAGCAGGGCAGACCCTACAATGAGAGACTGCGGGACCTGAACCTGTTCAGCCTTCACAAGAGAAGGCTGAGGGGTGACCTAGTGGCCATCTGTAAACTCACTAGGGGGGACAAGAAGGGTTTGGGAGAGATCTTGTTTCCCCTAGTGCCCCCTGGCATAACAAGGAATAATGGCCATAAATTGTTGGAGAGTAGGTTTAGATTAGACATCCGTAAGAACTACTTCACAATTAGGGCAGCTAGGATCTGGAACCAACTTCCAAGGGAAGTGGTGCTGGCTCCTACCCTGGGGGGTCTTTAAGAGGAGGCTTGATGCCTACCTGGCTGGAGTCATTTGAGCCCAGTTTTACTCCTGCCCAGGCAGGGGGTCAGACTTGAAGATCTACAAGGTCCCTTCCGACCCTACTTCTATGATTCTATGATTCCAATGACATAATTCACCCAATAAAAGATAACATCCTAAGAAATCCTTGTCTCTCGAATAATTTCTGGACCATCACAACTACAGCATCACTCTTACACTACCACTGTCTCCCCAAGGCACTTGGCCTATTAGCCATAGGTGCTCCATTTCTCTCAGATGCCTTTGCTATTGTCCAATTATTTTTCCCCAGTACAGGCAGACAATTCATTGTGTGTCCAACCCAATAATGTCTCCTGCCCATGTCTGGTAGTGGCAATTGTTTAACTATGCACGCTTCAGTCCCTTGGCTAAACTATGCCCCAAATTATAAAAGACATACATAGACAGTATAATCTATAGAGCAATAAAAGCAACATAAATGGACACATGGGCTTTCCAGTGAGACCACACATAGTATACCAGAACAAAACACAAAAGAAAGGTGACGATACCTGATGTTCTGGTGGTTTAACAGGGTTTGTAACAACCAAATACTGTTACTGTATACACCCCTTCCCCCAAACACCCCTGCCCCCTTCACTAAATGTTGATCAGGCCATAAAGACAAAATTCACCCGTGTCTAGCATGTCAGCATAAGTGGTATTCAAGTAATGCATGGGCTTTATGTCCAACATTGCCTAAATAACAGGAAGCAACACTAAGTGTTAGACACCATCCCATACCTTAAAACAGAAGAAAAGACAGAATGTGGAATCTCTAACAGTAATACTGTGACTACTCCAAACTATCACCTTTTGGGTTAAATTTAAGATTCATGCACAGGTGAATTATCCTTTACAAAATGCTGGCAGAAGGCCTATGCTGATCACCATGCTTAATTTTATGTTTTCCTAATAAGACAGAATGAATCATAAGTAACTACAATTCATTTTCTGCAGTTCCGATTCTGCTTAGAAGGCTGGTCTGGTGAACAGCTGTCTTCAGGGGATAAGTGTGATCAGTATAACCATTTTTGTCATTCCCTTTCCTGCAATAATTTAGCTTTAAATTGCCTTAAGTGTTGTGAATATGTACTTAGGATAGCTGGTTTTACATACCGTTCCTGCAGTATCTAAGATTTCAAGCATACACTGTTGTGCATCTACTTCAACTTGCTGCCAATGGAAGAGAGAGATCATGTTAAAATACTTTTCTTCTCAAAACAAGTACAATCAAATAGGAAACTTATTTTATAAAATCAAGCATATTATGCACAAGTTAGAGTAATGGGGAAAAAAATTTTGAGTTTGAGCTCACACACCAAAAGCAGGCAGTATTTTCAAGAATGACTGACATTTTTGAAAGCGATACTTTGATGCTTTTAAAAACTTACCCACATACTAAAAAGGAGCCATTATTTTTAAACATAGTAACTAGCAATAAAACAGCTAATTTCTACTTGTTTCAGGTGCTCACTGTGAACACATATACAGGCATACCTCGTTTTATTGCGC